AATCCTCAACAAATTATCCCCAGCCATAGATACCCTCCTCTTAACCTAAGTAGGTAAATAAGTTTTGAAATAATAATGTCCAGTAGAAACAAACTTACTAATAAATTAATGGAATGGGAGTAAAAACATTCTCCTCAGTCACGAGGTAATAATGTACTTTTAATGCACTGTATCTAAATACAAAGATTTCAATTCACATGCTTTAATTGCCATGTTGCCATCACCAAGATTTTTATCATCATTGTTTGTTTCTCCCTGTCGTTCTCAGGTGACCGGCCCCTGATCGTACAGTTTGCTGCTCATGACGCTCAGACTCTGACTGATGCAGCCTGTGTAGTTGCACCTTTCTCAGATGGAGTTGATCTCAACTGTGGCTGTCCTCAGAGGTGCAACTACTGACCACAGACCCAAACACATTTTGGCCTCCACTTCAGAGTCTTCCTCTCTCATAACTGCATGTTAAGAAATTGTAACAAAGTAATTTCCCTGTCAGGATCTAAAAGTTTATCTAATTCTTAATCTGGTTTGTTTTGATTTTACAAATGATCAGAAGCTCACAGTTTGTTTGACTGGTTGATTTCTTATTCATGTTTTCATCCATGTTACTTTGACGATTTATTAAGCCAGGATAGATAGACAGAATTTTAAATTCAAGTTCTTTGATGAGCTCTGTGGTTTTGTTTTCAGGTGGGCTATGTCAGCTGGGTATGGTGCGTGTCTCATCAACAAGCCGGAACTAGTGAAAGACATGGTCAGACATCTCAGAAACCAAGTGCAAAATCCAAACTATACCGCATCAATCAAAATAAGGTGAAGAAACCCAGACCAGCCTATTTTCAACATATCAATAACTATGTATAAATCGGCCGATAATCAAGATGACATAAACGATACAGAATTACCGCACTAGGTTTTAGGTAATTTAGAGACACCATTACATAGTTTGTTCTCCAGAATGAAATGACAAGTGTATTCTTACTAGAATAATAATAATAACAACATCTCAGCGATCTAGATTCCTTATTTAAGTTTATGTTTTTGATTTTTTTTGTTAAACTATAATATATCAATATCCAAATCTGCCTTAGTAATGTTTCAGTTACATGCTGCACATGGTAAAAAATACATGTTGCATTTGTTATTTACTTTTTGACTCTGTGACACATCCTGTAGAACCAAACTATATTAATTCACATCCACAGAATTCACAAGGACCTGAGGCGGACAGTGGATCTGTGCCAGAAGGCAGAATCAGCTGGTGTGTCATGGATAACAGTCCATGGACGTACAGCAGAAGAACGCCACCAGCCTGTTCATTATGATGCAATAAAGACAATCAAAGACAGCATATCTGTACCAGTCATTGCCAATGGAGACATAAAGTACCTCCGGGATGTGGAGTCCACTCACCAGCTGACTGGTGTCGATGGTAGGTTTGTTTTTAAAAACCTACACTTATAATGACAGATACATAAATGACATTCCTCTATAATTTGTTAATCTTGTGTGTGTTTGGATTTCATTATTAGGTGTGATGGCTGCACGGGGATTGCTCTCTAACCCTGCCATGTTCGCTGGCTACGAGGATACTCCTTTGGAGTGTGTATGGGACTGGGTGGACATCTCTATCGAGCAGGGAACTCCCTTCACCTGCTTCCACCACCATCTTATCTACATGCTGGAGAGGGTTAGCTCCCAGCCTGAGAGAAAAGTGTTCAATTCTCTATCCAGTACCTCAGCTGTATTAGATTACCTCCAGAACACATATGGGTCAGTACAAGACATGGAAACATCAATTCATTGAAATGTGATATATTTGATTTTAACATTTTTTATTTTTATGCCTAATAAAATGTCAAAGCTATAGTTTGCATTAATGCTGTCCATCTCCTGAGTCGAGCCTTTACTACACAGTAACCATATAGATTATTAAAGAGAATATTTAGTTGTTATTAATGCCTGTGTTACTCAGGGAGTATACACAGAGATTTAATAGCATCAGTATCCACTGAGTGTCACTTTATTCTTTAACTGATGCAACTTTCCTGAAATAAACCCTCCCATCAGGAAATGACACAGGTTCAGGTTGAACCATAGACTGTATATAAGGGTTGAACACGGGAAGTAGTGAGGTCTGCCTTCAGAATAAACTCAGAATATGTGTCCTGAATCCATATATAAAGGGAAAAGTGTCGAAACAAAACAGTTTAAGTTTAAAATGGTGATGATCATTTTTTAAACTAACAATGGTGCGTTTCCCATCCACATTAATGCTTGTCATCAACACGTCCAGGTGTTATTTTGAAAAAGGAGAGCGGAAGTCATAACTGTCAGAGGAGCTGTCAGGAAGTGGAGCCGCCGAGCAAACTTTGCTGTGCCTGATTTCTCAAGTGAAGAAAAGTTGTGTCTCCGTGTCGGTTCGGCAGTTTGTCGGTAGGTTGTGTATACTTTGTTCCTGAGCTGTGATATGAACTCACTCACTTTCCTTTTAGTCTTTAAAAATGTTTTACTGCCTCGTTATTGACGGCGCCCACGTTAGCCTAACGTTAGCTTGTGGTTCAGGTGCTAGCTTAGGTTACTAACAGTAGATACAAGAGAAACTGTTTCCAAAAGCTCAAGTGTTTATGTGTATTTTAGTCTTTAATAATGAATTACTCACTGCGTTACGTGCTACATATTACTCGTGTTAGCACTGTAGCTACAGGAAGTGAACTTTAAGCCTTTGCTAGTTTACGTTAAGGTATGTGAATTGCGTGGTTAAGAAGCTTAACGTCATTTTTCTGAACAGAAGCTCGTTGTTGAACAAGTGGAAGAAAAAAGCTGTACACGATAACTAGCTAGCTTAGTGTCCCAGCTGCACGCAATCAGCTTAATGTACTTTAAAGGTCCAGTGTGTAAGTTCTAGGTTAAAGGGAAACATTGGCAGAAATGGAATATAAAATAATGCGTTATCATCTAAATAGTAGAAATTGTTGTTTTCTATGAACCCTTTACACTTCAAAACTGTATATTCACATTGGGAGTGGGTCCTCTCTATGGAGGCCACCATGTTTTTTACAGTAGTCCAAACTGGACTAACTAAAGGTCTGAAGGCTGCCACAGGTTCTCTGTCAGGTTTGGGAGGGGAGGATAAGGGGTATTCAGCTGCTTCACCACTAGATGTCACTGAATCCTACATGCTCAATTGAGGGATTTTATCACATCACATTTCTTATCCTGTGTTTCTTATCTTTTCTCTTCTTCAGGGTCCCTGATCAGAGATGACGTTGCAATGGACGGTTGTGGCCCTCTTCCTCTATGTGGAGATAGGTGTCCTTGTCATCCTCTGTATACCGTTCATCTCTGCCAGGAGGTGAGTCATAAACACTCAGGATCATACGCTGTGTTGGGTTTATATAACCACCATCGCTGCTTGTTTATTTTCTGGTGTATTAACCTGCTATAAACTGCCCTGTATGTTAATGCTTGTGCATGTGTGTGTTTGCAGGTGGCAGAGTATTTTCCAGCTGAGGATCTGGGGATTCATGGCGAGGTTCTGGAACAAAGTGTTTCTAACGATGATAATAATACTTATTGTTCTCTTCCTCGGTAAGTGTAACATCAACTGTGTCAATGTTTTGATCACAGCCCAGTAGATGGGTCACGACTATAAAGGCGAATTCGTAGTTTCCATGTCCGCTTGGGTCCGCTATGATCCTCGTGGTGTAAATTGAGCTGCAACATGACTGTGACTGTATGCATCAAATATGCAGTACAATATATCTAACTACTGAAATGGAACATGGGATAAGCAGGCTTTGAATGCCAGACCGATGTGGACCATCATTTAGGAATGAATGGAACCGTTACATGTGACCAGTCAACCGTTAGATTGGTGATATAACTTAAGATGGTGGGAGCTGGGAGAAAGCTGCAGATAAATATGAAGCTGCTGGAGAACACGTTACAGGAGCTACATCTTTTACATCAGCATTTGATGGAGCATAGAAGAAAAGTTTAAGCTCTCTGGTTTTAACTTATGACGTGCTCCTTTTTCTTCAGATGCTGTCCGTGAAGTGAGAAAGTATTCATCTAAAGAACATGGCACAGATGCCAAGCTGCAACCAAACATGCATGACCACCTACACATGAAGCTTTTCAGAGCCCAGAGGAACCTCTACATCTCTGGCTTTGCTGTCTTGCTCTGGCTGTGAGTCTTTCCTTTTAAAAGCAATACACGGTTGACATATTACAAATTACATATTCATCTTTAATGAAAATTCTTTTTTCCTTAAGTTTTTACCTTGACCCAGACTTTCTTTTGAACCCGGTTATTTTTGCAGGGTTATGAAGCGAGTGATCACCCTGATTAACCAGCTGGCAACAGTGTCTGGAACTACGGCTGCTCTTCAGGCGCAGGCCGACACCGCTAACCGGGCTGCCAAGAAATACATGGAGGACAATGAGCTGCTGAAACAGGTAGGCTCCACACTGCTTGGGTTAAAGATATCTGTTGGATAGCTCTAGATGAGAACACAAGACCAATGAATCAGAGTTACAGTTATAGATGGACCTGTATTTCATGTTCTTTGCTTTAATCTGATCATTTATTTTAGACTCTGATGGGAGGAAAGGGTGATGAGGCTACTTCAGCGGGCATGGATTTGTTGAAAAAGGAGCTTGAGAAACTGAAAGAGGAATTGAAGACCGCAAGAGATGGTTAGTATCAATGTTCTCTGCAGATATGTTTGTTTACACGTGTGCTTTTACCATGGATGTAGTCTCATCAGGATCCCTTTTGTTAATGTGTGATTGTTTCCTCTCCAGCTCTGAAGAATTCCCAGTCAGAGTCAGAGGTAATGAAGAAACAGACGGACGGGCTTGCCAGGGAGTACGACAGACTGTTGAAGGAACATCAGGAGCTCCAGGTAAAGCTGAACTCTAAACACATCTTAATAATGATTTGTTGGATCATTCACTATTAGGACACAGTTAGTCTACTAAAGTCCAAATATTCCAATATAATCTTTTCACCTTCCCTAATCCAATACCTGGAAAACAGAACCGATCCCAAAACAGCTCTGGCTAATGCTACTCAACCAAAAATCACTTCTTCTACGCTGCTCTAAAAACATATCACATTTTCTGACATTCACTTTTCATTTCTCTGTTCTTTCAGAATCTTCAAGATAGTGGAAACAAGAAGGATGACTAGTTATTTTAAAAGGTTTAAGAGTTTATGCATCATTTTAGCCCAGTCACGAGCGAGCCACCACAGCACGCTTCACATTCATACAACACCTCGTGTCACAATGCACGTCACAGGAGCAGGATTGGCTCCTTGTAAGTACAGACTCTTGGCAGATATCAGTAATGGTTTTAAAGCTTGAAAGCTTTTATTAGGGCACCAGGCTGGCTTAAAAGTGGATGAGTGTTTAAATATATATATATATATATTTAAAAGCTTCCTGTATGACTAAGAGAAGAATTGTTTTTTTTTTTTTACCTTGACACTCTATCAGACAGATTCATTGGGTAAGGTTATTGGAAAGAATCAAATGAGTAACTGACCCAAGTCTGAAGATTACTGAGCACTGTAATCACTGTGTGTTAAAGTCACTTTTATTTGCTTTAAGGTGAAATTTCTGTCAGGCCAGTACACAGATGTAAGATCTGTCAGTAGCTGCAGCACAATATTACTGGTAAACCACTGAATGTATTTTGATACTTAAGATTTACTTCTTTATTTCTGTATGTAGCCGGGAGACCTCCTGCATCCCCTTTGAGCTTATCACAGAAAGTAAATTATGTCTGTTGCTCTGCAAATGTAGTTTGCATGTACAGTTGTGTTTAGAAAGAACAACATGACATGTTTATGTTGTATTCCAGCCAATTCTGTGTACTTTTTTAACCTGAGGGGATTGTAACAGTTGCAAAACATCCATATTTTTTTCCCTTTTTCTTCGTTCATTTTACTTTCTGTGTTGAGGATCATTTTCTGTGACACACCTGTCGATATACTTGAAACAGAATTTCTACAGGAGGACAAAATCATTTGAATTTAAATTTAATTTCACCATTTGTGATCTTATTTCAGTCTTAAATCAGATATATTCATGTTTCTGGGCCACAGACGGTCCCGATACTTGCACTGTGTTTCAAGTGTTTACATTTTGGTTTGAGGCACCAGTTGCACTGAGGGTCGCTCTGTATGGTTTTCCTTGTATTTCTGTTTTCCACACAGTTTCATGTGACTAAGAGGATCTGAGATTATTATCATAGGACGCATCAATGTTTCCCACGTTTTTCATGCTAAAGTGATTATTGCATGAGGTTTTTCACTTTCTTTTCGGGTTATGAAACTGCAAACATGCTTTGGAAGTGAGATTCTTATATATTTGTTGTAGACATGAATCAGAAGGAAGTGCCTTGCAGGTGGATGCAATAGATTGTGTTTAATAAAGACATGTTTCTTTATCCTCTGTGTTTTATTAAGCAGCTTGAAAAAATAACACCAACATATTTGATTGGATATGAATAGTTTTTAGTGTTACATTTAAGATATTTGAAATTTTACAAAATATAATCAAATGAAATTATTTACATTCTAATTTAATGCAAGTAGATGTCTTACATTACTGAGATAATGACTTTTCTTCCTCTATAGCGCTCACTGCTCCTCTGAGTCTGCACGTGTGGCCAAAACTTGTGCCTAAAAACTAAACCTGAAATACGGTCACTACAAACTTGACGAAATGGACAAATTCTTGCAGAGTGGTGTTGTTATACATTTACAGAAGCAAAATAATTATTTGTTTGACAGTTGTGTTGAGGAAAAACAGCAGAAATCCTTTTGTCAGATTTCCTTGGGATGGGTTCGGATGCTGGGATGCAGCTGCTGTTGAAATAAAACCTGAGAATAAACTGATTTTTCTGTTTGTGGAATTTGGGGCTAACCAAAAAACTATGTAAAGTAAAAACACTGACCAATGAAACATATAGCAACAGCTGGAGACGCAGAAGCAGAGCTTTTACACATCAGCAACACAAATGCAGACTTTTTTTCTTTACACACAGCGTTGTTTGCCCAAAGAATTAATTGATAGACATTTATGTTTTCTATCAGCATCATGAGGGCACACATTCAGCTCACCCACAAAGATAACAGCCAATTCAGTCAAATCCAAATGATCTGTCTCAGCCCATTTAGCAGATTGTGTATTCTTAAATTTGTTCCTCATTAATACCATATAACGACAGTTATGGTACTGCCTCCTTGTGGCAGCCGCCCCATTTCAATTTCAAGCGATTATGAATACCAAAGGAACAAAGTCACATCCCAAAAGTGCACAACACAAAACTGCAGAAGCCCTGACTTTAGTCTCAAAAGTAAAACGCAAACGTTTTAGAGTCAGTTGGATCAGAAATGAAACCGTTCCTAAACGAGTGCAGAGACTTTCTATCTGAAAATTTAGATTAGTAAGTAAGATAACATGATGTTAAGATGTGAGTGAAAATTGCTCCTCTCTACAATCAGCAGATGATGCACACGATTTCTAGGTAAACTGTCGAGAGAATGAGGCACAAATGTCAAAATAAGAGCTGAGCCCTCTAAGAATTCCTGAAATACTGACACATATTTCTACAGCGCCCTGCTTGTCCTCTCTTTTAAAAACTCTGCAAAAAATCGACTCACTTCCTGTCTCTACCGAGGCTTAATTTTCGTCATTCAAATTTATGAATTCATGATCAAATCTAGAGTCACGCCTCTGGTTTTTAAGGCCACTTCTTTTCTGGCATCAGGAAAAAAAGAATTAATTTGGAAGTTAACAAAAATAGAGGCTGCTTTAAGAATGCTGGTGTTCAGAGTGACACTGTTTTTGCAGTCGTGTGCACGAATCACATTTCTCATCTAATCTCTAGTTCTCCCATTTAAACAGAAAAATATTGTTGTATTTATAAAGGAATAAAAATAACAGCATATACATTCAAGAAATATTTCATTTATATCAAATTTTCTTTCAAATTCACAAATCCTCCAAAGGTCCTGTAGTACAAATATATAGAATTTTGCTCTATATGAGATAATCGGTTAAAAGGTGTCATTCCCTGCAAATCTCAATCTGCGTGTGCGTGTACAGTATCACTGTGGGTGGGTGTATATATATACACACACACACACACACGTTGGTTGTATTTGTTCATCTGTCGAATGTGTGTGTGTGTGTGTGTGTGTGAGTGTGAGTGAAGGGGAAAAAGGAGTCAGTTCTGCTGGGTCGGTCACAGCCGTGTCTCCCTGTCTGTGCTGTTATCTGACATTTGCTGTAACTGGTCAGAATTAGAAATCATGAGCTCCTCCTTCCTGAGCGCCTCCAGCTCCGTGCCGCCATTGGCCAGAGCTCCGTGCATGGCGTTTCTCTCTTCCCTCTTCAGCTGTCGACTGAGCAGAATGAAGCCCGGGATGCAGATGAGGAACGAGACAGTCCGCAGGCTCAGTGTCAGGCCCAGGTACGCAATCCTGAGGAGCAGGGGCGTAAAAGAAAATCAAATCTTATTTTACATTCAAGTATGGTGAATTACATGTTAGCGGTCCCTGTTTGGATGGATGTATCCATCAGTTATGAGTATAAGTAAGTATCTGTGGTTTCTAAACATATTTTGGATGTTTATTTCTAATGGAAGACTTCACAATAATGCAGTCGTTAGCACTTGTCGCCTCGCAGCAAGAAGGTTCCGAGCTGGAATCCCCGTTTGGCCTGGGGTCTTTCTGTGTGGAGTTAGCATGTTCTCCCTGTGTGGTGCGTGGGTTTTCTCTGGGTTCTCCAGGTTGGTTGAATGCCAAATAATGACATTTTTATATAAAATACTGTTAATTTTTTAATTGCTACCAAATATAAGAGAGAAGCATCAAATATGTAGCAAGTCTAAAATTCAGTTAAAGTCTTGAAAATCCTGAAAATGAAAAATGATCATATATGAAGATGCACATAATAACCTGTATGCAGTGGTGTTGTAGATTCTACAGGCTCCTATGCCTCCACACCTCTTCTGACCCCACTTTAGACATGTGGTGTCAATGATCGCTCCGAAGTAGATGGGTGCTGGGATCCCTGCTGTAAATCACAAACGTATTTCTTTACTATCACATCCCTGAGAGCTGAAACAGCACAGTATGCAAACACTGTCCAGAGTAATTAAAATAAACTCACAGTAATAATAAGCTTCAAACATTAATACTTATATTAAAGTGTATAGATTCAAACCAGAATACAAGTTTCCATTTTAGCCTTGAGCCACTCAAACATGCTTCAATAGCGGATGATTATTATTTTACCGAGGGTACGTGTTGCCAGAGCGTGGAAACCCAAGGCCAGAGATTTCAGCTGTGGTTTTATGCACCTGCAGAAGAAAAAAAAAAAGAAATGCAGATTTTTATTTTTCAGGATTGATCAGAAACTGATTGGAAAATCCAGGGATATCGAGTGAAAAAGGAAAAGTTTGTGAGAAGAGAGACGTTTGCTGTTAAGTGTACATTCTGTCAATGACTTCACCTTCTTTGTAACGGGTGTGAATGTGTTTTGCAGTAACTGTAGCAAAAAATGTGAGAGCAGAAGTTTCTTTTATTGTGATTCATAACATAAGATTATTGAACCTGTACTGAGGAATTTGAGAAGGTGTAACTGTTGTGTATTTGTGGGAAAGACAAAGAAATTCTACAAGTTTGCAACTCATCAAACATTTTTTCTCTCTGACTTCAAATAATTCCTTAAAGTTAAGATTCCATTGTCACAGGACACAGTGCTATCAGAACTGACATCCCTGAAAATCAGAGCAATAGAGAAACAATTATATCGACATTAAAATGAAAAAGCACAAGAAAATCACGGCACAGAGAGTCATCTCATTCCTGTGAGGCCATTGCATTTAAAAAGGATCAGCTGATAAGGACTTCTGTGAACACATGCCTGCTCCTTTTTATTATTTCCTTTTTAAATTTACATAGACAGAATAAAAGCATGGAATGTTGTTGTGTGTGTATGAACATCTCATCAGAAAGATGTTTATTGTAGTGTCAGCCAGCAGAGGACGCTGCTGTGCAGAATAATCTGTTGCTGGTTCACAAAATAGGATTTATGGCCACATTTATTTTTATTCGACTTCATTTAAACATATTTTTGTGTAAATGACACACACACACACACACACACCAATTGTCCACATTTCCAGCTTCATGTCAAACTGAAACCTTCCTGTGAGTGAATTAACCAAATAGAGGCGCTTCAAATTTCAGTCACATGGATCATTTAACATTTATTTGCTGCTCTGTCCGACAATGTTCCCTTTGAGGAAATAACGTCATCGATGAGTACAGAGATAATATCATTGAATTATAATCACAACGACACAGAGCAGCCAGTCTCTGCTCACCGAACCAAATGTTTATCGCTGCTGTTGATTATCCATATCTCACTGACCCACATACAACATATCACAAAAACGCTGCATCCCTGTCATACTAATCTGCCACTTTCTTTCACTTGGCCCTTCACCAGTGCAGTTGCATTGAGACCACACCTGACCCCCTGAGAAGCTCGAGTGGGAGGGATGCAGCACGGGCTGTCATGTCCCGTTTCTTCTGTATCAGAGACGGTCATTACAGAGGACTAATAAAAGGATAAGTTCACTGTTGACTGTCTCATCATCGGCCGTCATTCACTCTGAATGACAATGTTGCCGATTCAGTTTTGACAAATGTAGCATATTCTGCAGCAGCTTCTCACAGCTTCAGGATTTAGAAGTTTGAAAATGACTTTACATAGAGGCATGCTGGTACATCGGTTAGCTAAAGCAAGAAAACACTTTTTCAGTTAATATTTCATATTCAGTTTCATTGTTTTCCATTTGGCCAACTTACATAATGTTTCATTTAGTGTTCATTTCATTGATCTTTGTGATAAATTTGATTTCTGTTTTTACCTCTGCCTTGAGTGCTGGGAAAGGCGACTATAAATAAAAAATGATTATTATTATTAAGCTGACCTCAAATGTGAGCAAGAGATCAGACACTAGCCCTCAGGGTTTTGATTGATTCTCAGCTGACCATCACACTGAGGGATTTAACCTGAAGAAATCAAAGACGAATGGACTATTTTTAACCTGGGTGTTTGACAAAGCCACTTGTTTACACACAGAGACACAAAGAGACACTAACAAAACATGGAGCCAGCAACAGAAATAACCCAAATCATTGTCTCTGGACGCTTTGAACCATAAAAAGCGAAATGAAAATACACACCTCCTATGACTCCTGCAGTTCAGGCAGGAGGTATGAAAACAATCCAGAGCTAACTCGTGCTACATTTACTTTTCCCAATAATTAAAAGTCACGGAGGGACAGTAGCTTAATAGACATTGCAAAGAGCTAGAGATTGACTTGACTCTTCTTCTGAAACGTGAGTGAACTCACAAATTTGTAAATCAAATGTGAAAGGATTTGATATCTCAAGGTGAATGAAGTGGTGAAATCACATTCTGATTATTTATTACTTAGTAAGTTGAGTTTTTGTCTATTTGTTTATCTGTATGTTCGTTAGTAGGATTATGCAAAAACTACCTGACGGATTACCACTAAACTTGGTGGAGGCGTGTGGTTTACAAGGAAGAACCTTATGAATTTTCATACAGATCTGGATCAGGGGGCAGATCCAGTTCTTCAATATTGTGAGATGAGACGCATTTCAAGTTTTCCTTGATTTTTCAGAAAACTAGTGGAGTGCCTGTTCTAAACCTCCTCAAACATGGTTTTACTGTTTGTGTTCTGGGCGTTGTGTGCACAGCTTTTCAAAAAAAAAAATGGTGCAGAGGGAAGTTAGAAAACTTTGTGTTCATCCCACCTGGTTTATCTGCAGTGACTTTATTGTCAATGTTTTTGATAAAATGAAACTGAATTTGCTTCATTACCTTTCATGTTTGTGGCTTTTATATAAGTGAATGATGAACTTAACTCAATGAACATTGCATGTCAGATATTTCAGAGGTGTGATAAGCAATCGACACAGTCGTCAGACTAAAGTTCTGAACTTTTGTAATTCAGCTTGATAAAAAGCAGCAACAAAACAAATGTTGTGCTTTTACTTCAAAGAAATATTGCTGAACATGAAATGATTCTATGAATGTTGTTGCCATGACTGTCACGAATTCTCCTTCCTATTAATGTTTTCACTATCAGTTTTCCATATACTAATCCCTGTGTCGTTTCAGAGTTCAGCCACTCCCCTCCTGCTCTGCACGTCCACACCGGCTCCACCCACATACGCACCTGTCTCCAATCCGCTCATCAGTCACCTCCAGTATATCTGCCTGCCAGTTTCCTTTGTCCTCTGCCAGATCGTTAGTGTTTTCATGCCTTACCTTCCAGCGTTATCT